TCCATGGCAGTGGAAAATCTTGTTTCTGAGGAACTAACAATAAGATAGGTTGTGTGTTTCAGCTCCTGAATCATCACTGTTTAACACAAGTATTGCATTTCACGTGTTTGACCACAACTCGGTAATAGTTCTACTGTGCGAGAGTGGATACCTGTATCTAAGTAGAGCTCTGTTAACTGAAGGGACTACTGATCCACTTACAGAAATATTTCATTACAGATCACCATTACTGACACTATCAAAATCACTAGAAAAATAAGAGTAAAGGTTGAAAATTGACATTTAAGTATCACCTTACATGCAGGCACTGTAAACCATAATCTGTCCAGTATGTATGTCAGCTACAACACATCTCTGGCTTGTTACAGCTAAGCTACTGGAAAATGATTTCAAAAGCAAACGTTTTCACAGTTCTCTGTTGTGCATTAATTTGTATGTAGAATGGAAAAATTCTCCTTTGGTGTTTTACAGTATTTCCTCTTTCCCAGGACAGGAGGATCACAGAACAACATCTTGCCATGCTTATTTTTAAGACATTCTGCTCCCCTGTTGATGTGAATCGAGAGCAACTACGCTAGCGTATTCCTTTGGTTTCAGCGGAAAACCTACGCCATACTAAAGCATCGGGGCACCTGGTTTCCCATGGGAATGAGGCTGGGACAGGCCTTGAGTCCTTATGGGCCAAACTGAAGATACGTAAAATTAGCTGTGCCTGAACGTTTCATGAACACCACGTTTCTTGACAAACGCGTGCCAGCTCCCCAGGCCACGGCTTTCCCCTCGCTGCCGCCTGGGCGCGGAGAGCAGGGTGCTTCGTCTGGCTGGAAAAGAGGCAGAAAGGGCAGATCCCCGCTTATTCGGTGTCTGCGCCGTTCCTCTCATTTACGTAGTTCAGCCGGCAACGCAGAAAACACCCCAACGCGCTGCAACCAAGAGAAGGACCAGGCACGCCGAGAAGGAGTTGAACAGCCCTGGCGAGGCCCAGGCGGCGGTTTCACGCAGCGCACCCACCGCGGGCCTGCTGCCTCCGGGTGCGCAGGGACGGCGGGGACCCCTGCCCGGCCT